TCTGCAAGATGATATACATCTCTATTCCTAATTTCCTCTCTCAGGACAAAGATAATTTCACTTAGACCTGTATATATAGCAAGTGCGACTACTAAACATCACTACTGATCACGCCAAGTGACATAATCCTGTAACTTAACCTTTGGCGTCAAAGTTTAAAGCAGTTTTGATAAGATATTGATAAATCAATGCTTTCTAGGAAGAGGGACTCCAAAGGAGTCCGAAAATACACTCCGACTGAGCATACGTACAACGATCATTCAGAGTAGCTCTTTGGAACAACCGACGGAAGTAAATCAGTAATCTTTCACTTTCAATAGTAAAGAATCAATGCAACCAAGTAGATCCACGCCGTTCGGCCTATCAAACATTTTGACAACCAAGCAACAACGAATGCCCGTTACCACAGATAATTTACATAATTAAATATAGCCGATTACCAATCCAGTAAACAACTGCAACAATGACAAACATTATGCCGATCGCATACAGCGATCGGCAAACCAACCTCTCACGAGGAAGGGTCACGAACTTTCCCCGCCTTTCGGGATGGGACACATATCGTTTTGTAGAGCTCGTGTAGCTGACCGTGGATCTGCAAATAATTTTTGCTGCAGACAAGGGGGATCCGAGATATGGTGGGAAAAAGTTTTCAGTGTATTGAATTAACGTTCTGAATTTCCATCAGACATCGGCGGCTTGACCTGGCGGATAGTGCGCCAGACTCAAGAGTGGTTTGCAAAATCCCGACGCTTTTTCAATCTCAGGACCGGGATTCAATCCGGGATCGAAAGTCGATCTTGGGATTGAATATTCAACAAATACAACATAAACAACGAATTATCCAAATGCAAGTCAACAGGCGCAACGCAACAATTAATACTCGTATTACTAAACAAATTATTCAGCGAATTATCATTCAACGGATTATTCAACGACGTGAAGCATATAGTTCAGTGCAGTTATTCAACGAGCATTCAACAATTACTATTCAACATATAATTCAGTGCTGTTTGAAACAAGCTCTGAGAAGCGTGAAGGCGCTTATAGTTCCATCGTTCATTCGCGTTTTCAGTTTTGAGATAAATGGCAAAATGGCGAGAAAGCGCGCTCACATTCGATACTTGTTGCTGGGTCGATTTGGTAGACTTGGACAATTTTTTAAATATTCGATGCCATTTCCTTTGTCTCTTCGTACAAATGC